AGCGCTGGCCGAGAGTGCGGGGCTTGTGCTGCCTGCTGGGTGAGTACATGCTGCACCCTGTACTGCTTTTGGATGGACAGACAGACGTTGCGCTGGGCTGGGCAGGCAGACAAGGGGAGGCAATGCTGGAGTCGGCATCCCTCATTGATCCCCCAGCAGTCCCAGCCCAGCTGGCTGGGTGCTGGTGTGGTGCAAGGGGGCAGGTACGCAGTCTTGCACTGCTCCCTGGGGCAGGGTGCTGCCAGAGGTGGGCAGGGAGAGGGCAGCAGAGCTCCGCAGAGCGGCCTCTAACACAAACCACTGGTTTCATTGCCCTGCAGATCTCTGGCTGCAAATGCTGCTGTCCTTCCGGGGCTGCAGAGCTGTCTGGCATCCTCCTCACCTGTCACACCTCTATCTAATAAAACTTATGAAGCCCAGCTCTCTCAGTTTCTCCCCCCAAAGAAGTTTTCTAGCTCTTTGAGCTCTTCCCTGCACCCTCTCCATTTTTTTCCCCAACATCTTCTAAGAGTATAACTGCCAAGATCAGGTACACCCTCCTGGCATGTGCCTCCCATGCCGGTACTAGGGCTGTTTTCTGTGCAGGGGTGCTGCTTGCTTTGCACCCATCATCCCACTTGCCCTACCCCTGCTCTGCAGGGCTGGCTTACACTTGCATCCCTCTGTGGAAGTCTTTCTATGTGGTTTCATGTGTTTTTCACATGTGTGGTTTGTCCGGTGATTCAGGGTGGTCCCGCAGATGCTTTCCACAGCAGGTGTTGCGGTTCAGTGATGGGGAGGTTACCAGGATGGTAGGATGGTGCAGAGCAAGACCCTGGCTCCCACCTACTCTGTCCTGGTGCTGCACCATGCCCCGAGAGGTGGCCAGGCTGTGCCAGCCTCCAACGTGCTCTCCCCTCTGCAGGAAGGCCATCGAGGGGCTGGTGGCCCTCAGTGAGGATGGCTGCTCCCCCATTTCCATCCAGCAAATGGCATACGGTGAGTGCTGTGCAGAGCAGCCAGGTAGGGCTGGGCATGATGCTGGGGGGAAAGGGAGGTTTCTCACCTTGAAGCTGGCTGGGTCCCCTGAGGGGCTGGGAGGTGCCGTGGTTGGCCCTGGGTGGCTCAGGGCTTGATGGCATCCCTGTCCCAGCAGTGGCTGTCGTGGGCTTCGGGCTCATGAGTGGCGCCTTCTCCATGATCAATCTTCTGGCAGATGCGTTAGGGCCCGGCACTGTGGGCATCCACGGAGACTCACAGCTCTACTTCCTGACCTCAGGTGAGTGACTGGCACCCTTTGCCCACATCTCTGCCCCACCAGAGGTGGCAGACCTGGGGGCTGGGGGTCAGCCTCCTTGTGTTCTCCTCTCCATGTTGCATCCTACTGCTACTCCCCATACCTATCTGAGCCCTTTGTGGTCCCCGTCACATCTCTCTGTGCCAAACCCTTCTCTCTGTCCCGTGACCCTCCCTGCTCCTCTCCCCCATCCCTCCCAGCGCTTCCCAGTCTGACCCAGTAGTGCCTCTACTCCCCTTCCCCAGCTCCTCTCCATCCCTCCATGAGCCTATGGGCTGGGCCAGGGCAGGTGGCTCCCTGGTGATACTCCTCTGCTGCTTCCTGCAGCTTTTATGACCATGGTGCTGATTTTCCTTCACACCTTCTGGGGGATCCTCTTCTTCCACGGCTGTGAGCACCGGTGCTGGTGGGAGATCACAGCTGTTGTTGTCATGCACCTCACTGTTTCGGGGTCGGTGAGTAGCCGGGAGCAGAGCTCTGCGCTGGGACCTATATTTGGGGATGGCTGTGGTGCGTGCTGGTCCCTGTGCTGGGGGTGCAACAG